CCGGCGGACCAAACCCTGCTCGATTCCCAAGCGGGCGCTTATGCCAACAGAGCTTCGACACCACGTACCCATCACATATCTTTCGTGTCCTGCCTCTCAGGCGTGTTGGATTCCCAGTACCCATGACCGAACGCAGTTGCAGGTGCCGTCGCACTCTTGACACCTGTGGCCCATGGCGACCACCGCACTGCTTGCGCCCGGGCAGGGGTACTCCGGAGACCGGGAGACCCACCAGAGCATGCCGCAGCCAGAGTGCCGGGAAGCAGGCGCCCGAGTCACTCAAAACACACGATTGGCTGATCTCAACCTTCCGGCCCTGCACCGGGTCGACGACAGAAGAATCGAAGTCATCGCCAATGGACTAGCCTTTTGGAACAGCTCGCGGCTCGCGCTCGATACCACTTTCGTGTTGCCCGTGGCCAGCACCGGGGAGCCACGACGCCGTGGGGTGTGCGATGCTGGCGCTGCACTCAAACATGCCAGATAATCCAAGGAAAGGGCCTGCCTAGAATTCCGACGATCCAGTCAATGCCGGCTGTCGTTCTGGCTACCGAAGTCGGAGGGCGATGGAACCGCGCTCACCTGCAATGATTGCAACAACCTGGAGCCGGGGCTTGGCTACATGCCCCCGCCTGCTGAGAGCCTCGGCTTACATGTGGATCCGGCTTTGTTCCGCATCATGGTGTGCCTGCGGCTGCCGGTTGCGTCCGAAGATGTCGCTTGCCCCCTATGCGATGCGGTTGCTGACCGCATGGGTGACCATGCTCGAGCTTGCCCTTGTGGTGGGGACCGCACCAAAAGACACCATCGTTTGCGCTCCATCCTGGCTGCCCGAGCTCAAGCTGGTGGCCTCAACCCTGTCGTCGAAAAAGGTGGCCTTCTGCCCCCTCGCTTGGACTTTGCCGGTGCCCCTGAAGACGGTGTGCAAGCCGGTGGTAGTGGCGGCCGGCGGCCAGCTGACGTTTGGGTTGGGAGCTGGGGAGCTCATGGTCCAGCCGCATATGACCTGGCTGTTACATCTGGTTTACGACAAGGGGCTGTGGCTGCTTCTGCAGCAACAGGGGCCCGGGCTGCAGAAGACTACGAAGCTCGCAAGCGGGCTCACTTGCAGACGGCCGCCACCTGTGCTGGAGAAGGCCTCCAATTCGTGCCCCTAGTCGCTGAGGCTGCCAGCGGCGGCTGGGCGCCGGTAGCCATGCAAACTTGGCGGCAGCTGCCACAATGCGTGGCCGCTCGCAGTGGTGAAGACGCTGGGGTTGAACTTGCGAAGCTGCTGCAAACCCTGGCGGGAAGCCTTCAGCGTGAGAACGCCCGGGCCGTCCTCCGGCGTGTGGGTGGGCCGGACGCCCACCCTGCGCTCCTGGCAGACCCTTGATGCGGCAATGAGGCTGAAAAGTGCACCGTGGATGTGTTCAACTGCTCCGCGTCGGTCTCTCTTGGTGCTTAGCTGCCTTTTGCTCGGACAGCACCCCCCACTGTCAGTTGCGATGACATCTCTGACGGGGACTAGGCCGAGGCCAAGAGGTCTGGAGATCCCATGTAAGTGCTGGCTTCGGGCCTCCTGTCCAAGCCCTGAGGTGGTTCAGTGTTCTTCGCCGCTCTTTTACTAACCCGGCAGCTGCATCGCTTAATTCGGTGCTTTTGACGGCGTCTTGCGCCCGCTCCCTTGCTGTTCGTTTCCAGAGGAACGTTTTACACAGCTCACTCTATGTCCGTCTCACTGTGTACAGTTTCGTTTCCCTTTTCTCCCCTTGTCATCGTCGAATTGGGACAGTGACCTTCTATAGGGGGCTTTGGAACTGTCAATTGTGTCGAAGACCTCAAGCCACGAAGCAACCCAGTTCTTGAGCCCCCTGGCACACAACAAAGCACGAGGTGCTCGCCCTGCTCTCCGTGCATGTTTCACCACCGCTTTGGTCGCCAGATGGACAGCCATACTCACCCACGCGGCCACGCACGCCTTTGCGTCGTCCTTGCTTTCCCTGCCCGCGGGCGACTACCCCAACCGAAGTTGGAGTAAAACGTGGTGTGGTGCCCACGGTGGTTGGTGTAAACTGTGGCTTGGTGTCTGCGGCGCCGGCGGTTCGTATAAAACGTGGCTTGGCCTCGTCAACAACAATGGTTGGTGTAAACCGCGCTGGGGCGTCAACGGTGGTTGGGGTTAAACGTGGTGTGCTGCAGCGGCACCAGTGCACAGCAGCGGCACTTTGCAGCGGCTCCAGCACCCAAGTTTCCAAGCAGCAACGGCACCCACGGCACGAGCACCGAAACGCTCATGTGCACACGGCAACGGCGCCGTGCAGCATCCAAACTCCCAAGCGCAGCAGCGGTGCCTCGCAGCGGCAAGCGAGGGTGCACAGCAGCGGCACCTTGCAACGATACCAGGATTCAGGCTCCAAAGCGCGCCCCTTGCAGCAAGAACCCCCATGGCTGTCGCTATCTGGGGAGGGACAAAACAAGGACCAAACGCGGATGGCAAACAATGAGGGATTGGGGAATCAAGTAAGTGAGGTGGCTACTCGGTTCCGTACTTGCCACCAGCCTGACAGCAAGTATCCCAAAGCTAACTCTGCCTACCTTAGCCCGTGGCGCCTGTGCAACCTTCAATCCTCGAAGAAGTGGTGTTTTTTTTGTGTTGTGCATTTTTTGTGCTGTGCATTTGAGAGCACAATTTGTGAAAACCCCGACGTCGCACGCCCCGAGTTCAAACAAATGACTCGCCAATCGCAATTTCAACATCAAATGTTGGTGCTGAAGGAAAGCCCGGGCGGATTTGCAGGCCGATGTTGTCACACAAAAAAAAACAAACGAAAACATGAAAAAGGACAAAACAGACCAGATGTATGATGTATGTGGCTGCAATGGAAAGCAACCAAATGATCAAGGAAAACGATTGAACCCAACCTTCTTGTAACCACCTGGGCGGCCAGGCTTGGGTTTCAAGTGCAAATGCGTGTGCGCACTAAGGGCTAGACAGATGTGCGCGCAAGAGAAAAAACATATAAAAGAGGAAAAAACCGTTTGCAACGGGGAAAACAAGAAAGGGGAACCCAATGGAAGGGCCGGAAACAATGAAACCAAACCTTTCAAAAACTTACGAAGACCAGGCCTGTTTGGGGCATGGGGCGGCCCCAATGGGTCTTGAACAAGCCTTCGCCTCGTGGCATAAAGCGGGTGTGAGCACGTTCTGGCTGCACAAAGGCTGACTACTCAATTGCCATAGTTCAGTAACTCTTGCCGAAACTATGGCGTAAGCGTCCTCTGCGCTGTGGAAGCATACGCTCCCAAGCAAAAGGAACCGGGACAAACCTTCGTTCAACGGGGCCACAGGGGGCACCTGGGCGGGCACAAACGCCAGATACACTCGAAATATTGCGTACTGACACGACCTGCAGCTTGCCACACGCCAGCCTCAGAAACCAGGGCGGGTATGTGAAGCGGTCTGAAAACGAAAACCTTCAACCTCCACAACCTTGAATTCGGACATCTCAAAGCGGCAAAGGCTCGTGCCTGCAGTGAAATAACCGCAGAAGAAGAAGAAGAAGTGCGGTTGCTGAGCCAGGGCTACGAACCACAGGCTCGTTGCGGCCGCAGATCTCCATCAGCAGCTGTCAGCGGCAGCGCGTTGCTGCCAGATGAGTTGAAGAACATCACCCATCTCCTTAGCAAGCACGAAATCTTCAGTACAACGTGGCCAAGCGTACCTTCGAGTGAGGCCGCTGTCAGGCACCTGCATGAGGGCTTTGGGCGGTAAGAACACGTCCACATAACATGATCCCAGGTGGCCCTGGTGCACCTGCAGAGTTTCAAGCCATTTGAGGGCATGCTTTTCCGAGAAAGAAACAAAGAAATCAACACTGTGAAGGGCCCTGGAGTATGCCCTCGCCCTGGCAGCAAGCGTACGTTGGCATTGACGGAGGCCTACATGGAGATCTAATCCTACCGTGAGTAGAAGTCGTTTGTGGTGGCGACCGGACCAAACAGGTTCGCGACAAGGTTTGAACACTTGAGAATCAAATCGTCGGATTTCTTGTTTTGCGGGAGCTCTAGCAACCCAACCATAGGCAATCATGCTAACCCCAACCGCGCGAATAGTACTATATTTCACTTTTCGTGACACCGGCAAAACCCCGACCTTGTTTGTTCCAAGTACAAGCATGGACCGTAAGGAGGGGAGTTTTAGCACCCGAGCAGGCACGTCAAGCAGATCAGGCTGCATACCCTACAGCCACCATAGCGAGCTTCGTTGGGAGCAGCTCTATGGGCCACCTGCGCCCACGGAGTCCCTGTGCTACCAAGGGTGCCACACACACACATACCCAATGGAACAGCCCATGGCACCACAATGCCCCCACCATTCTCCAACACCCTCCACGGGTCCAAGCGACCATAATTTTTTGACACTTTAGGCATGCGGCATGCGCCCCAAAAAGCACTTCGCCGTCGCAGAGGTGGAAATACCAAGTCGTGAACACAGCCGCATTTGAAACAAAATGCGCGAACAACAATGGATGTGCAGCAAAAAATTTGGCAGAAATGTGCCGAACACACATTCAGATTGCAAACCAAACCGCATGAGAACAGCGCTCAAACTTGCAGCGTTCCTGCCAGCACTTCAAGAAGGACGGGAATTTTCAAATTTCAATCAAAACCCCCACTGAAATCAGAGAGAATACCGTCTACGATGCCGATGTGTTAGCGCAGCTGGCCAACGCGTACAACAAACACACAGAAACATTCCGCACTATTTCCGTTCACAGGCTGCGGGACCCGCGAAGCAGGAAACAAAAAAACAGAATGAAACATATAAAGAAACCAAGGTGGTTCGGAATTCGGAAGCGAAAAATATCCATGAAGAAGTCGAAGGCCAGGGTGGCAGTTGCAGTTTTTGACAGTGACGGCTGCTCCCGGCAGTGGAAATCATCAGAGTTACTGTACTTGTTCCAAGTCGCCGCATGCAGGCCCGATGTTTTGCATTGCTGAAACCGCATTTGGTTTGCAGAGCTTGGGATTTGGGTTCAAGCCACAACCTTGTTGCACACTGCAAAAAGCATGGTGCGGCGAGAGGCAGTTGCGCCAAGAGAGAAGCACTCGGGAACAGTACGGTTGGAGGCATTCAAGCAAACTCGCTTGTGCAAGTTTCACATTGCTGGAAACTGCATTCGAGGAACTTCCTGCAATTTCGCTCACAGCGTTGAGCAGATCCGCCACCAGCCAGATTTTTCGAAGACCCGCCTTTGTGCCGATTTCATGGAGTCCAGGTGGTGCAGAGATGGTGACTATTGCAAATTTGCCCATGGTGAGCATGAGCTCCGACCCCATCCCGCATCCAAGACAAAAGAGCAGGAGACGAAACAATCGGAAGTTATCCAACCTTGCAAGAGCCCACAAGTGGCCACGGCCACGCCGGAGTTGCAAACTTCCAAGTCTCCAAAGCACGTGTTGAAGTCTTCAACGTGGTTTGATGAGGGCTGCACTTGGCTTGGGTCAGAGGCAATTCCCATGTTCCCATGGTATGCGTACGTCGAATATCAGTTTCCCGACGACCTTGGGTGGGACACGAACAGCCAATTCAGTGGAGAATGGAATGAATGGAATGACTGGAATGAATGGAACGAATGGAATGAATGGAATGGATGGCATGAACGGAACCCAGCCTCAAGCAACAACAGCACGACGTGCACAGAGAGCCCACTTCAGGGCACCTTGGCCACAGCCTATCCTAGCTGTACCATATTTTCTATTGTTTTGGGTGGATCAGGGTGAGGGTGAGAGCGTCAATCCTTGCAAATCTTTGTTTGTATTTTGATGTGTTTTGTTTTTTTTTTTCTCCCAGGTCCCATCGCAAATCCTACAGTGCCTGACGGGAACCTGATCTTTGATCTCGGCGGGAACTGTGCACCATTTCAGTCTGAGCCCTCTAGATGCACTTTATCCTGTGTCGTTTGGATTTTGTTTCTCCCTTTGCCTTCTCTGAGTGCCGGCCATCATTTTGGTGCTTGACTGAGCATTGTTTCGATTCTGAGGGTTCGAGTGAAAAACACCTTTTTGCACATTGATGTCACGGATAGTGAGGATGAGGCGGGATCATTCTCACAGTGCACAGGTCAAGCGTCTGAAACCCCACAAAAATTGGAAGAGACATGACACATGGATCACACCTTTGGTTTTCAATTGTTCTATATAGGTGCTAGTATGCTTGATTTGGCAGCCTTGGCCATCACAGGATGGGCCTTACACATCACCTTCGCTCCGAAGATCTCCCAGTGCTCCGAGCAGGTTGGTGATGCTTGGCACCTTGGCTGATACCGTGTTGAGATTATGTGTGCACAGAAGGGGTAAAACAATAGAAACACTTGGACAAGCGCAGATATGTCTTGAAGATTGTGGTGCCTTTGCATGGAGCATGAGAGTATATATATATATAGTGTTATTCTGGGTCTTTGGCTGCATTTGGGCATGGTGGCGAGGTGAAGACTAACCACTTCGGAAGAGATGCATTTTTGAGCGGCTTTCCAGCCTCTTTGGCCATGCTCCTCCAGAGCATAGTTTGCAAATTGTTCCAGTGCCTGGACGGACTGCGTTTGATTACAGGAATCTCCTATGCCATCAGTCTGCCAGTCGCATCGGAGCAGTGTAATGTACATAGAAATTCATGGAAAGTCCCAACCTTCCTGCTTAGACCGTGCACAAGTCGCAGGTCACAGCTGCCTCACATTAGTTTGCAACACACCTAGCAGAGAGCAGGAAGCACACGGTCGAGACCTTTTAGAGTGGTTGCATTGCTTGAGCAGTTTCTGTGCTTGAGCATTGCCGTGCTCATACGTAGTTCCCCGCACTGTTCCGCGCAATTTAAAAGAAAAACATGGTTCTGTGGAACACCTGTGGCATGTCACACATGAAGGCCTGGAGGTCTGGCTAGGAGCGCCATTCATGCATTTTTGCCTGCGTGACAGACCCTGTCCGCTCAAATGACCAGCTTGCGATGCGGACCGCAGGTCCTGATACAACACTTTTCGATAAGGTCGGCGAGCCATGCCTGTTTTTAGGACGCGGTGCCTTTGGCGAGGTTTCGCTGGTGAAGTGTAAGGACAGAGAAGATGGGGTCTTGTTGTGCATCTATTGCTGAAACATGAGGGGAGTTGTGCAAAGCGCTTCAAAAAACAAGGATGGGACCAAGTGTATAGGACTAATAGGAAAAGCAGGTCCGCCACTTTGGAGGACACAGGAACTGGGGAGCTGCATCTTGCTTTGATGCACAGCTGCATGTGGCAGTCGTTCAGTTCGATCCCTCAATCGTTTCTGGATAACTAAACCAGCATCGACCCCAAACAGCAGCGGCAGTGGGAGTTTTCTTTTTTGGCCGATCCACTCCTGGCGCCAAAACTCAGCATCCAGACACGCCATGGGAGACAAGGGGAGACAAAGGGAGACAAAGCAAATTCATCTCAGCCCAGCATCCAGACATGTCAAGGGAGACAAGGGGGGGACAAAGGGAAACAAAGGGAGACAAAGGGCGGGAATCATTTTGGCCCAGCATCGTTTCTATGGAAGAATTAAAAACTCCTCACAGCAAAACTGTTTGGGGCAAAATTTGGGCCGGCCAGGGTCGTCAAACACATGGTGCTGTGGTTTGTTTGCCGAGCTTACTGTCAGCCTGGGGGTTGGTCTGGCCAGCCGAGGAAGCGGGTGCGCTTGCAACTGTCTGATGCGGGCATAGCCACAGCCAGACAAGAAGCCCAGCTCCTGTGGCAGCTAAGTCAGGACGCGATCTTTGGGAGGGTGCGTTTTGGCTTTGTGACATTGTGTTGTTTGATTCACAAGCTGAGTCTTGTACAGGGCGGCTCTACTGGGCACATCATCCATCGCCCATGTTGCAGGAGAGCGTGGGTATTCTACAATGTTTTGCCTTCCGCATGGTCCCAGAACCAGTGCTCACCCTGGAACTTTTGCTTGAGTGACCTGGCCACGAATTCAGCACAAATTCGTTTCACTTGTTCCGAGCCTGGCTTGGAGAGAATCCCAGGTTTGCACCACTGGGAGACCTTTGTCGCCGTCTACGTTTGTGCAAAGAGGCCAGTTTCAGCCAGAAATGCGGGCAACATGAGCCGTGTTTGTTTCACACCAGCGGTTGACAACCTCAAGGCAGTTCCAGACCATGGGCTTCCAAAGGCAGAAGTGGTGGCGTACACGTATGATGTGGCACAAGGGCTTTCATTTCTGCCGCTTTCTTGAAACATGTGCTGCTAATCCTTGACTTGGATGCATTCAGGGCATCAGATCTTTCAAAGACATCCAAGGCATGGGCTGCGCCCTAAAATCTTCCACAGAGATGTGAAGCCCGCGAACATCATGTGGCTTGGTTGTTAGGCTTTGGTCATGTGTGAGAATGGTGAGCGTAGTGTAGGGTAGTGTCTGGTGTAGCGTAGTGTCTGCGGACATTCTGAATTCTATGCCCCAGTTCACTGTTTGGTAGGATGGTCTACCAGCTGCTACGTGTGCTACACGACCGAGGCTGTGCTATCCCGAAAGCTCTGTGACTCGAGCTTGTCCTCGAGCGAAGCTCGCTGACTTTGGTGTGGCCAAGGCCGACGTGTTTGAGACGTGTGATGTTGGTGTTGAAATTCCATATGAGTCATATGAGTTGTTTCAAAACCTCTTGAAATAGACTTTATATACACGGGTGTTGCACTCAAGACTGTGATTTGGAGCTTCCATTGGAAACGGTGTACACACCCTTATTGCTACATGCAATATGTCCTTGGAAACTGATGTGTGAACTCTGCAACAAATACCAGGGCGTCCGTGTGGGAAACGCCGCGCAACGATATGGGACGTCCTAACTTTGATGTCCCTTTCCATCGTGTACTCTAAGAGGCTCTAAGGAGCGCTCCTCATACCTCATTCAGTGTGACTTTGTCGGCTTGACAAGCAGGTGATGGAATCAGAGGCCTCAACCGCAGGGACTGCCACCTTCATTGGGACTCCGCATTACTTGTCCCCTGAAGTCTTCAGTGGTGACACCTATGACGAGAGAGCTGATGCATGGGCATTGGGCTGCGTCCTCTACGAGATGATGTGCTTTTGCCGCCCGTTCCATTTTGCCGAGACCAATGTGGCCATCATGGCCTTGCGCATTTCACAGGGGCATTATGATAGGGAGCGACTCTCCCAAGCGATGGGTCGCTACCCAGAAGGTCTTCTGCAAACTGCGGAAGGCCTGCTGCGGCTCGAGCTGTCGGAGAGGCTTCGAGCAATTGATTTGGTGGAAAGTTTGGGCTCTTTTGGCTTTCTGGATGAGGCGCGTGCCGAGTCTCCTCTTCCAAGTTGCTGGGACCCCTTGCCCATTGATGGAGCTGGAACTTCGTCTGAAGTAAGGCTTGATACCGACAGTTGGCACGGAGCACATGTCGCATCCGACAGCAACTCAGCGGATTATTTTCTTTGTTGCTTTCGTTGCGTTGGTCAGTTACAGTAGTTTCAGAGTAGATGGCACAAACCCCTACATGTTTTTTATTTACTGTATATATTAATTATTCGTTTTTTTTGAATACGATGAGGGTCCATATAAACGACCTTTTGGGGTTTGTGCCATCATCTCTGAAACCACTGTAGCTGATGAGGTGGAACATAAAGCATCGAATGGCTCTTGTCACGGACTCACCTTGCAAGGCAGCAGCACACAGCTCCTTGCCGTGCTGGAAGCAAGCGAAAGTCCCTACACGCTTGGGCATTTGAATGATCCCATCTATGGGGAGGCTGGGTGATGTCAACATGATTCATCCAAAATCTGGGCTTGGGAGCTTTGGGTTCAAATTAACGTCTTTCAGGTGCTGACGCTTCCGGCACTTCATCATGACTCTCGTTTGGGAGGTTTGGACATACTGGACACACAGCGCCCCAGTTCAAAGTTCTCACAATACCTCTCACTAGGGCTGTCACCTCGATTTGCCTGCCAGTCCTTCGTTTTTCCTAGGTATGGCTCTGGATTGCCTGGTTTGGATGGGGTGGCTCGACCGGATGACATGCCGCCCTGAGGTGGAAAAAAGCAACCTACGTGATAGGCATAGCAAGACTAGAAGAGCGTGAGCCTGGACTCTCTTTGATTTGTGCCGAACTTGCTTTGCTCACACACAAACCATAGGCCACGTCAAGATGTATTATTCAAAGAGGGGGACAGAGAGTCAAGATGAGCAGCTGCATCATGAAGGACATGGGGCTGTAACCTTTTTAACTTTGCAACTTTGCACGTGCATAGTTGCTTCCTCCCTCTGGGCAACAGCTGATGTGAAAAGGCTGGCTGGGAAAGTCTGGTTGGCGCTGACAGGATGGGCGCTTGGTATCCAGTTAAGCTCGGAAGGTGTTCGCTTGCAAACTGTTTCCAAGTGCACATGTTCCTTAGGAATCTTGAATCTTGAGTAAGTGAGTAAGTGGTTTGCTGTGTCAGAGGGCCGGTATGGCTATGACCCACCCCTCGTGGGAGGGAACACTCGGGCGGACCACTTCCCAGCCATTCCCCCAGCCCTGCAGTTCAGGGGATGAGCGAGGATGTGGACCGTAAAGACCACAGTTTGCCGTAGTTAGAAGACTCGCATTTTTTTGCTTTGCTTTGCTTTTATTTTCTTTTTGTTGTTGTTGTTGTTGTTGTTTGCGTTGTTGTTGTTGTTGTTTTTGCTGCTGCTGCTGCTGCTGCTGTTACTCTTCCTGCCAATCAACGGGGAAGCACATCCACAGCCTGCAGATTTGGTGGCAAAAGTTGACAGGTTGGTCGGCATCTTGATGCTGATCGTGGAGAACTCAGTCACCCGCGGCTCGAGGCGTTTGTGTTGGCCTTCCCCATCTGAGGCTCAGCTGAAGTCCTCGCAGCTGCCTTGGTCCTTTTGCCTGCGATGTATGTGTGCGATGTCTTGTGATTGGAGTTGCCTATGTGGCTATTGGAAGCGGTTTTCTAAACTGCCCCGCCTGAAATGTTGGACACACCCACAGACACAGCCTGACCATACATACTGTACCTTTCGATGGATTGCCGTTGTGGTTTGAAGCTTCTGGAACTTAAGGTCCATGCCTTTACAGCAAATCTACTGACCAAGCAGATCTTTGCAGCCACGTCTTGGTTCTCCTTGTTGGCATCATCATGAAGAGAGATAGTAGGCTAGGAGTGTGGATGACAATGCTGCATGAAAAACATGGTTAGACAATGACACGAAATGGAGTTGTGCCATGGATCTTCACAGCAAGATGGACAGCGAACACTTGGGCATGAGTTCCTGTGGTCATGCTGCCATGTCCTCGGGCCAGTCCTCGGAGCCGCAGGAGCGCATGGTTTCAGTGCAGTTCTTCTGAAGCCGCTTCTTCAGCTGGGACGAGGATCATGCAGTTCAGATTCCATCTACCCTGGCAAAGCCAACATGGCAGCCAGATGTGGACACAATCGCCATATACCAAGGCACCCCCTGATAGTGCGGTGTGCCGACCGGCACTGGCAGTTGTCCTGTGAAGCGGACCGAGGAACCGAATTGAAAGATGTCCAACTGCTTGTTGATTCGCTTCGGCTTCGCCTCTTGGTTCAGACTGATGCAGCATTGTCGAAAGCAGTCTTTTCCTGAAATCGCTAGCTCCTTATGCAGTGTATTGTGCGTACATGTTGGCTCAGTTAGGTGATGACGGCAAGTGCCTTTTGCCTCTCGATCTTCTGTCTCGGGTGCATGGCTTGAGCGAAGCTTTGAGAGCAGGAGGTGCACGGTGTTAGGGTGTTTTGGGGCTGCGTAAACGCGGAATGATTGCGAACGGAAGGGGCTGGAAAGCCCAGAAGAAAGATACACAGATATACAGTAATACCTTCTAAATATCTATGTATAGGGGCACCTGTCCAGGAGCTTTCATTCCGCTTGCACTCCCAGCCCCTTCAAGTTGTTTTGATCAGCTCACTTTCCAGGACATGATGCAGCTGAGATTGCCTTTCATGCAGGTGGAGTTGAGGCCTTGAAGTGAAGAAAGTCATAGCTACACTCGCTGGGGATGGGGTAACCTTCTGTAATTGTTTGTGGGACGCCCCGTTTGTCAAGCCTGCACACAGGTTTCGATCAACTTGCTGAAATCAGACAGTTTCTTGGAAGCTTGTGGAGATGTGTTGAGAGAAGATTGCGGTTCTATCTTGTGGCCAATCACCAAAATCGCCCGCAGGGCTGTTGGTCAAACGGGCCAGTAGAGAACTTGATTCCTGCCTTCTTCACTAGTTGCATTGATTTCAACTTTCCTCCTGCTTGATGCATATTCCATCTCGCAGGTTCTGTTTGTATAGCAACTCAGGCGATGAACTGATTGCGGGTGCACTTGAGGCATTGTGGCTGATGGTGGATGATAGCGACAGATCGGGTCTCAGTTTTGGCAGACTCCAGCTAATTAGACAGTTTCCGATCGTTGAGTGTCTCCGAGGCTGCCAACAGTTGATGCAGTTGAATGGGCACCATCTCTTGTCGGAGATCGTTCAGCGCCACGCGCCAAAGAATGCGAATGTGGCCAGGGCAGTCTTCAGGCTCATGTCAGAGCTTTGGCAGATGATGGTACGACATGGTATGGACCCAATGGACCATGTGATGCAGCTGGAAGGTTTTGACAGGTGTGAAGATGTGCATAGTTTTGGTTAGTGCACTGAGGAGACGCTATATGGCGAGTCCAGGCTTTTTCTATTTTTTCCGTGATGTGGCTCCTACCTATCTTTGGACATGTGCTGGCTTCGAAGAGCTAGCAAGTAGAAAATCAGCAGGTCTTCCAGTTACTGGAAAGATGGCCTGGATGGGAGGCTCTTAGCAGCTTCTTGGCAAAACATGTGCTCACAGATTCTAGATGGATATAGTTCTTGCATGCCTTCAGGATGCTCTAGAGTGGTCCATTCGAGAGACCATGACGGGTCAGTAGCTCAGTAAAGTAGCTGAGACACGGACTCTAGGAGTTACTCGTAGGGCGAGCTAGAATCCGTTTTGTGACATTATAGCATCAGGTTTCAAGCAAACCAAATTAGACCTTTCTTCCTTTTCTTCTACTTTCTTTCTAATAGCGATGGCCTCCAACCTACTAGCGACAGCCTCCAACCTAGTATAGTAGCGAACTCCAAGGGCGTTGTGCACGTCATGCCAGCAATGCTGCAGGTGAGCCCGGTGGAAGAGTTTCCACTCTCGGCTTTGTTTGTGACGTGGCCGCTCTATGGCTTCAGCGGACGCGAGCGTCTGAGGCCAGTGGTTCACACAGGGGGGCGGGCACCGCCTGAATCCAATCAGAGAGCATGAGAGAACTCTAGGCAGTGAAAGCCTTGATTGAGACGGTGCCTTTGCTGGTGAAAGCGATGGCCAGTTGTCCACATGACGTGGCGCAGAAGCACTGGTCTTGCAGAATGAATCGTCAGCAAAATGCAACTGTTGAAATTTGGTTACAGCATGTTACAGCATGTTAGTTAAAATCTAGCGAAGGTTTCTTTGACCTTTGCTCAGGCTCTGCTGCTTCAGCACGGATGTCGCTTGTTGTGGGCGTTTGCACGACAATGTGAAGCCTGGCCGCAGGACGCCCCCTGAGTAGCTGTGAAACTTGCTCCAGCTCCAACATTGGTGGAAGGCGTCAGCACCCTGGCTGAGGCCTTCCAAGAGCCAGCGCTCCTTGCTCTTCAGCAGCTGAGCCGGGATTTGCAGTCGGTGACTTTATGCGGCTCCGATGGTCAGTTGTGGAGTTCCCGAATCAATTCCTACATTCTGTTAAGGTTGCCACCCAATGTGATGCACTACAATGCCATGGCACTACAGGCAGGAAGAAGTTGGACCTGCCTGCCGCACTTGCGATCCATTTTGCTAGGCTGTGTCGGCACTGACGCCGGAAAGATCACAGATGAAACCTGAAGCTAGCAAGAGCACGTTGGATAGCATGGACTGAAAAAGGAGGTGCCGGCGAAACTTGGGTGTGGGAAATACAATTTACTTGCTGCAGAATGTTCTCAGGCTGCAGCCAATTGAAACTACAGAGTTGATTAGATAATCGATTTAATTTTCCCTGGCGCTTTGTGCACTTCTTGTGCGAGCATCCATATGTGTCCAAGGGGCAGGCCTGTGAACTATGGTGAGTTTCGCCCACGGTGAGCGGCCTCAGCACCTTGTCCGACAGTCTCCTGGGTGGTCTCTGGACAATCTGAGCTGAGGTGCTTAAGTGGAAGCGAAGGCCTATTGGCATCGACGGCCTCGGGAAAGCTGGTGCGGGACTGAGAGTGTTAGAGAGGCCGTTAAGAAGGTTCATGAGCCAAACCCCTCATGTTGGCATCTAACATGCCCGTGCACAAATTGAAACACATGCATGAATCATTCATGTGGAAATTATATGTTAGCAAATCCTCCCGAAGCTGTGATGTAGTTTTCCAGACCGGTCCAGACCTGACGTCTTGAAGAAACCATGCTGCGCAACTCTCGAATTTGTAAAGCCTTTTGTCTTACAAAATGCCCCATGTCTATACGACAATCCATGTCTGAGGGTGGTGCCACTCGAGCTGCAGGTGAGAGCATCGTAAAGTATGAGCTGTTGACACAATGTGACACATACAACTTGCTTCGATGCCAGGTTCTTCGGAACCTTCTGGATCTCCAACTGCAGGCTTTTGTGCAAATAAGTGCAAAGTCACGACAGTATGACGCCTTTAGTTGAATTTTGGCTCGAACGAAGCTTCTCAAGCAGCTAGGGACTTCACTCCTTCCTACGTTTTGTAAGTTTTCTTACAGAAGGCTTAGACTACGGTCTGGTCAAAGCAACAGGTCACATGCAAACACAAAGTCAACGCCAACGGTTGAAGGGCCAGTTGCTAGATCCGCTCATGTCCAAAGTGATAGCTGCGGGTTCTGCCCACTCCTCATTGACTCAGGCGTTTCTGCATTGGTAGAAGCTTGCATCAAATGGAAGACCAAGGCAGCTGCAAGTGCAGCAGCTAGTGCCGCCTCTGGTGCTGCCTCGGCAGTTTCTTCTGCGGCCACTGTCGCCGCGAATGCTGCCCTTGCTGCCAAGGCCGTTCCACTTTCAAGGAAGGAAAACGAGCCACTTTTGAAAGAGAGTGGCCGTAAGCAAACGGTGGGCTTTTGCTGAGGAGCGGGCTGCCCAGGCTCCACGGACACTGGGAGTTGACACGGAAGGCCACTTTTTGTATGCTTCGTTTGACAGGTAGCACCAGGAGATGCTGCGAGCATTGCGGGTGAGGTGGGAGTTGCCGCAGGAGATGTCATTGCTTGGAAGGTGGGAACATCTCTCCGCCACTTGTGAGCAACCGTTGCAGGAGAGAAACTGATTGCGGCGGAATCTCAGCATGCAGCTAACATAAGCATGTGCCCCCGTATCGCAGTTGCTTGGCTTCTGTTCTGCCACACCTGCCTCATTCTTTACGCTTTCCTTGGCCTTGGACATGACCATCCTGACAACCAGGGCTCTTGATGGTGGTGTTGTGACCGAACATAAGTGGCCAACAGTGGCCAAGGGATCATTTTTGTGGCCAAGGGGCAGTTGGCCAAAGGTGCGGCCAGCGAGGTGGCGGGCCTGACCAGCCTCTTGGCCTCAACCAACCGTGACGTGTGCCACGTGTGATGGACCAACAACACTTGAGGTGGCATGGCCGGGAAGGTGGCCTCACATGCAGCAGATGCTGTGGAAGGCCATGGCCACTTTAGCTTGTTTGTTGCTGCCAAAAATGGCAGATGCCTGCGCTGGCAGGCCAGATTTTGTGTTAGCCAGGAGGTTGACGTGTACTGGGAAGTTTGGATCTTCTTGATTTGCATTTGGGCTCAAGCATGTGGCTCATTACTTCATTTGTGCAGTGATATGCAGTGCCAATGCCTGTTCCTTCAGGGGCACCAGATGCTCATCCAAATGGAGAGGATGGCAGAGATGAGGCTGCAAAGATGAACCAGGTGGATCCAAACGAAGCTCCGGAACGCCTTTCAAGAATCGATGCGCACCTCTTTGCACTTGCGGATGAGGTTCGCTACTTGCGAGAGACCCTGGAGAAAGTCCAACAAGAGAATCTGGAATTAAAGGGGGTCTTACAGAACCAGGTCCAGCTAGAACTATCTCCCATCGCTCAGGATGATCCAGAACCTTTGGAGAAGAAGCCAGATTCAGCAAAGCGCTTGCCCGTACTGCTCCGAGCCCCTACCCCTTTGGTAGTGGATGAGGAGTTGGACTTGTCCTCTCAATCAGCTTCTCAAGACAAATCTGGATTACTCAGGGATTGGCGAGTCTATGCTGCACACGCATTAGAATTTGGGCCACCCATTGTCATTGTCCTGAACTCCATTGCCATTGCTTTGGTCAGTGATGTTGTAGCAGACGAGACCACTGGACATGTTGTCGAATCAATCTTCGCCTTCATATACCTCATCGAGTTCCTGCTGAAGATCAAGCTCTTAGGATGTCGAGGCTATTTCTGGGGGGAGAATTGGCAATGGAACTGGTTCGATTTCCTCTGCCTGTTGTGCGCCTCGTTGGAATTTGTTGCCATGTTGATCCAGATCTCTGGCATCCAAGCTGCACCCTTCCTGGACGACGTCACGGTTGTACGGGTCTTCCGCTTAGGGCAGCTCATGCGGACTGTCCGCGTGTTGAAGTTCAAGATGTTCAGCGAGCTGCGCCAAATCACCATGGGCATCATGAATGGCTGTGAGGTGCTGTTTTGGGCTGTGGTGCTCCTCTTTGCCGTGATCTACGTCTTTGGAGTTGTGATGCGGAACTTGGTGGGAGGTGCCTTAGATGAATTCAATAACATCCCCAACTCCATGTTCACCTTGTTCCGCTGTTTCACTGATGGATGCGCGGCCTATGATGGTGCTCCCCTAGCAGAGCGCTTGCGCAGCATGTATGGAACACCTTTCACCGTGGGCTATGTATGTGTGACCATGCTTGTGGCTATTGGGATCTTCAATATGATCATGGCCATTTTCCTGGAGAATGCCACGACTTCAGCAGCCCGGCGGAAGCAAAAAGAGCTGGGGGAGAAGGCCATTGCAACAGAGCAAGCGATCAGGAAGATCATTGTTCAAATGGTCGACCCATCAGTCATGGAGCGGGCAGGGGATCGTCGCAGTTTGGCTTCTCGGATGACTCAACTCTTTGAGTCTCGGAGCTCGCAGAGGTCTCGGTCTCGCGCACGGAGCCCCTCGGTGGGCCAAAGCGCCGAGGTCTTTTGGCGAACGCAATATGAGCTGCTGAAGCGTAGCGGTGTGACCGTGGACCGTCGTAGCTTTATGCTGTGGCTGGAAGAGCCGGTCTTTTTGAGTGTCCTGGAGAATGCCGAGGTGGATGTCTCGAACAAGTTCGATCTCTTTGATGTCTTGGATGCTGACATGGGTGGCCGGCTTGAGTTAGATGAGGTGGTGACCGGATTGATGAAGCTCAGAGGGCCAGTCTCTAAGAGCGATTTGGTGGCGATGAGGCTGCAAGTGCGCTTGTTGACCCAACAGGTCATCCCGGGCTAAGGCGGCCAAGTGACAGTTGACCTCGAGAAGTGCATTTACCAAAATTGCATGAAATTCATCGCAAAACCGTTGCACCAGAGATGGCCAAGCCATCTCTTTGACACAAAATTGCCAGTGGGTGACAGGGCATCACGGCATCAGATGTCTCTGACTAGGCTCTTCCAACTCTAGAATGACCATTTGCGAGGATGATTATACAATGCAACTGCTGCAGTCATTACTTGCTTTGTCACTACAGGTACTTGTACAGGGTTTTTGGTACTTGGTACCTCCAATTGTTCATTCTAATTTTTGGTGCGTGGGTCCTGTGACATGGGAGGAGTTTGAAAGCCAGTTTCCCATCAGATATCCTTGTGCGCCCCGTTCGTTTCTCACATGTCAAGCCAGAACCCGGCGTCCAATTAAAAACTGTCAATAACAGCATTGCACCTTCAAACGAAGTATTGCAGCCGGACAGGCTCCCGTCCGGATGGCAACTATTTGCCAGCCGAAGCCTGAAAAGATGAGCCAACAGTGGTATAGAACCCCTCAGCGACAAAAAGGAAAAGCCGGGTTTGGGCTGCGCAAACGATTGCCCTCGCTTGATTTCCTGGCCGAAATGGCGTTGATTTACTTACCTGAAGACTTGAGTCCCAAATCTCACCGCTCAGGCGTAGCTGACCAAGCTGTGACTTGGCGGGAATAGTTGCTGGGCTGTGACGTCGTGCGAGTTTTACTTGAAGACGCTGAGTCGGACCCGAGGCGAAGCAGAAGCAAAGAATGGAAAAGGTGGCCGAAAGCTTTAAGGAGTTGATGGAGGCCTCACATTCTTTTCTTGTGCATATGGACGGACATGGCAATTCTTCCTAAGACCTGGCTGTACCAAGAACGACCATGAGCCGCCGCCCTGGCATATGACCACCTATAGCTGCTCCCATGCTCATTTCCTTATATAATTCAATTGGGGAGTATGCCAAACACAGCCACAAAGGCCGTGAACACGTTCTCAGGGTTGACTGGCATAGCATCTCCTGCCATGCAGGGCTTCCTGAAACGAAAGCTGCACAATTTGTTGAAGACTTTTGTGCAGCGGATCCCTGGCCTGCTGAAGCATGCTCCTAGCCTCCTTTGGAAGAGACAGCTGGCGTTGTACGGAACAATTTCTACAGGATTGAGTCGAGATATGGAGTTGAGAAAGTTTTCGGGAATGCCCAGCCACCCACCCAGAGTCCTTGATTCTTTTGATATCATATTATTCAAGGGGCCTTTTGTTCTAGGGGTTGCTCTCCTTTTCGTTCCGCCAAGGCTACTGACGACGATGAGATGCCAAGCCGCGTGAAGCAAGCGAAGGTGAGAGTGCGAGAGACCAGAAGAGCGAAGAGCAGCGCATGGATTGCAAGGACGCGGCGATTGATGGCGTGTGGCCAGACATCGAGCAGGCCATGGTGTGCATGAACTCATGTGACAAGGGGCCTTCCAGCGGTTCAGACAACCACGCTTCAGGAAATTATGTGGGATCTTGCGCTGAGACTTGACGATGGAATTATATATATATATATCTCCCTGTTGCCATAGACGAGAATTTGTAGCTAGTGACGTACTTGTTGTGCTGCACCAAGGAGGATTGATGGTGCCCACAAAGAAGAGTATCCTGAGGACTGGTGTCATTGTTGCACTGTATTTGGAGGCTGCCTGTGGTAAAATTAATGCAGCTGCAGGACTACAAGGGCTGTGTCTGCCTCCGAGCATTCTTTCGATACCACCTCTATCCGTACAACCGAGGTCCGCCATCGATGAAATTGCAACGGCAAAGGTAGCTCTGGTAGTTCGATGCTGAACTGATTGACTGCTTGATAGGCTTTTGGGGAAGTCTACGCGATCCTATTTGGATGCTCAGCTCACACGAAGCACATCCTGTTTGATTCTAGATTTTGCCATACGGCATCAGGATCCTTTTCACGCTCATCAGCTTGGTCCCTGCGTATGGTGTGAGTCCATGCGTCATTCGGCAGAGCTTTGGATTTGGTGTCCACGCTGAAGGTGTTGGAAGGTGTTGCAAAAGCTTGTTGCTGAACTTGCTGAGGTGTTCTTGGTGATTTTTCTCCTCATCGACAAAACAGATGAATTTCAGCTTGTGTCTTTCATCCTGCAGTTCAAGGCCTGAGGATTCGCAAGGTTTTCAGTTTTGCACCTTCACAAAGCCTTTGCACATGTTTCACTTGGCAGGGCTTCCAGTTCTTGACACAAGGTTTTCTGCGAAGCTTGGTGGGCCTCTGGCTTGGGTCAAGCTTGGTGTGTCTAAGCGTTTGTTTCTGGATCCTGCCTTCGCCTTTGTCGTTGTTTTTCACTGAGGCTTCTTCTTGTACCTGCACTGTGTGACAGCTGTTGCTGAAGTTGAACATGATTGCGCCCAGATGGGCCCGGGAAGCATGGCGCCGGCAGCAGTGGCATTAGCATCTTGAACAAACCAGTCGCGGGCAGTCATGGTGAGCTGGTTTTGTGGATGAATCGATGAAGCTAAGGCAGGATACGTGGTACAAATCACCTTGGTTTGGAATTTTTGCCGCAAGCAGCTCCATGCATGCTAGGGCTGCTAGAGCTGCTGCTCGTATTGCAGCTCAGCTGAGGATTGCCTTCCTGCTTTTGCCATGCTCGAGGAGAAGGCGCAGCAGCTTGCAAGGGCACCTTGAGACTTGGCAAATCGTCAAGGATGGCCTGTTAGGGAGTGCTTGCTGGCTCTCCTGGCGTTCCATACGTTCCATGCGTAGCGCTCAGGATCATACCGACAGAGGGTCATCCAGATGGCGGGGAGGATACATCCGTTCCTTGTCTCAGCAGCTTCATTATTTGGTTTGAGTTCTGCCTGGTGTACAGCTAGCTCAGTTGCACGCATGCATGATGGACGGTCGCCACAGCCCTGACAAAGGGAACCGGAGGATTGTTGACCCCGCGCTTTACACCAACTTGCCAACATAAACAATACCAGGACAAGAGTTCTGGCGTTCTCAAGAGAATTTTTGGGACTTTCGCCTTTCCCAAGTCTACTTGCTGTGGTACGACCTCTTCACCTTCGCCATTTGTGCCGGAACTTTCTTGTATGTATTGCACCTCCGTCATTGGAATCTTGATGATTGGCCCATCAAGCACGCAACTCGTCAAAAGCAACGTGGAGACTGCATGCCTTTTTGAGCTTCTCATGACGGCCGTGCGGGGCGAGGCATTCTTTGCCGTCCAGATGGTGCATGGATACTTATCGTTGCCATTCTTTTTCTTCATGGTCCCGCTGCTCAGGCTGACTCAGACCTTTCAATCATTATTATGAATCTTGACCATTCACTTATATATTTTCGTTTTGCGCCGCAGGAATGTGCTACTGCACTCAGTATTGCCCTCAGCGAACCGGTCGTTGTGCCACTTTGTGAATTGTGCTTTGAGCTTTGCACGGGACGCACGTTGTAGGTGCCCACGGCCTATGACCAGTTTGGACGATGTAGGCAGTACCAAGGACCTCCACGACCTTCAAGGCCATGACAGATTTCCAAAGTAATGCCACATAGTGACAATTTTGTGAAGTCTTCTTGTGGGACTTGTGGTTGAAGTCACATGCTATTGTCGACCAGCTTGGTGCAGGCCTGCCAGGGAAAGTGGGAAGTCAATGCCAGCACAGCTGCTTGAGAAGGCTGAGGCCAGCAAACTTGGGGTGTTTAGTGCTAGTATTTTCGAGCGGACGTCCCACTGCTGTGATTGGTTTCTGTGGTGGCATGTTGTACAGGCCCTCCGAATCCTGGAGAGCTTCAAGATGCTCCTGGCTGGGGGGAAGGTTGAATCCTTCGAGGAAGGGAAGCCATGGACTTTGCACCCTACACTCCCCTGTCAACACACACACACACAGACATGCAAATCACCTGGAATCAAACACTGAGTTTGATGCCTTTTGTCAATCCAGACCCTGACAAAATTTGTTTTTGTGTCAGGATCCAGCTCCAGCCCCAGTGACCCTAATAGGGAAGGAGCTTGGATAGTTAGTTTCGACGTGTTATGAGCCGTGTACATACCTGGTAGCTGCCGTTTGTGGCACTGGGTTCTCGCCTGCCAAACGGCGGGGGGACTTTTGGCACAAATTTCGTCAGCCGTTGAAGACTGTGGGATGCTGTTTGCTTTGGTAAGACGCTAAAAGCATGCAGATGGTTGCGGAAGTCTGCAGGCTCCCCCCGAACGAAGAGCGCTTCTGACAGATTCCCTGGCAGAAATGAAGCGAAGGCACGTTGAGAGAAGGAGAAAGGGGGAGAAGTGACTGACAGAAAGATTTTCACGAGCAGGTCTTTGCAAACAACAACAGCTACAGCGAGCTCCCAAGTGACTCACTCGCTGGCTATAAAGTGTGCCAAGCTGCACTTCGCTCGCTTTTGCCCGACACTTTGCCAAGGTGGGACTTGGCTAGATGGCCGTATGCATGGAGATGGGCTCTACGTTTGGAACGAAGCGACCTTAATGACTTAATGGGGGTGATGATTAAGTTTAGGCCCGGCCACCAGCCCCTCCCCTGCCCGAGGATGGCACAGAGTATGCCGGAGAGTTCCGGAATGGGCAGATCTGGGGACAAGGTGAAAAGCGCGAAAGCCCAGCTAATAGCAATGGCCTCGAACCTAAGAGCGATGGCCTCCAACCGACTACATAGCGATGGCCTCCCCTAAGAATTGGACTTGCTGACTTCCTCGTATAACCCGTTGCTGACTTGCGTAAAAGACTGCTCTTGGGAGCTAGCCAAGCTTCCATGCTGTCGGATCATGCTGAGGCGGTGGCCCAATGGAAGAAGATACTCTGGAGAGTGGGTCAGCCTGGCTGGGTCCACCTGGCTGGGACAGCTTCTGCGCCTTGCGTCCTTGCCAGGTGCAGGACATGATGTGGGGAAGTGGCGAGATGCCATGATCTTAATTGCGCTAACTATGCCGGTTCAAGGCATATATTGAACACGTGATGAGAGCATCAAGAGCAGCACGGTAGATAAGGACGTGGCCATCGGGTGAGAAGTACACCGGGCAGTCCCAATCTCGGCTGGATTGAGCAGTCCCAATCGACGAGAGATTTGAGCGACCAGGTTCTGCAAAGGCCTTTTCCATGGTCGAGGAACTAGATGTTTGTCCAATGGCGACCGTTGCTCGGCAGTTGTACAATCTATGACAGCAGATCCACTGATCCATTTCATTACTCCCGTTCGAGACTGCTCAGGGTACACCGGCGAGTTCAGATACGGGGAGCAGGAAGGTGTCAGCACCTCGGGTTGGGATTGGACACGGAACAGAGCCGAAAAAGATCAGTCAGCACCGTGTCAGTTATCAGCCTTAGGATGGAAGCTTCGAGAATGCAAAGGAAGGCATGGAATATGACTCCACCAATTGAAATTTTGTCCTCCACTCAAAAACTGTCAAAACATGTGGTTCCCAGTCTACGGTTGCGACACATGCGCTTCACCAGACTTGCGCCAGGCTGGACCTACGATGGCCACTGGAGGCATGGTCTCATGCTGGAACCCCGAAACCGACTGGGTACCGCGACCTGCCGCAGCTGACCATCAGTGACCTGAGGTGGGGTGATGGACGGATGACATGGCCAAATGGTCTTCTTTATGTGGGGAATCCTGGGCATCAAAATGCACATTTTGGCTTTGGCATCATCAGAACCAAAAAGGTTGGGGAGTGGATGAACGGAGCACAGCATGGCACAGGTCGTGGGAAGCTCAGCTGGTGAGGCGTCTAAAATTTGGGTTGCTTGGATGACGTGCTTTTTGGCCGACTGCAGGTTTGACCTGGCCGGATGGTGCCTGTTACCAGGGGCAGCCTGTTGCTCAGGGCACCTCGAAGACTGCTGTCCTTGCGCCGCGAACATCGTCCAACGACCAACGTCGTTGGACCGACGTTGGCGACGGGACCGAGGTTTGTCAATGGCCACTTGGAAGGCCCGGTGGCCTCAGTTCAGAAGAGTGCTGAACGTCCTCCATGGATACTTTCTGCAAGGACATGGCCGAAAAACCTTTCCGGATGGATCTTGGTTTGTTGCTTCCTGAGCTTTTGCCAAGTTCTTTGTGCTTTCTCATGTGTTGTTCGTTCTTGCAGTTGCTCAGGAAGGTAGCTTCAAAGGAGGAGAGTTTGAAGGCACTTTGCTTAGTTGCTGCTCGACCCCGACAACCATGCGATCATGAATCATGCTTGAATAGCCGTAGCCTTCAGTGAGGTCGAGGTACCTTTCACTATGCGGACTCCACAGAGTTTGAGGGGCTTTGGGAGAAGTCTGCTGTGCTAGGGTTATGGCCTCATTGATCCTCATTGATTTGCTCAAAGACCTTTTTGATGCCTTCTGCAGGCCTGGAACCCATCGATTCCCAGATGGGACCAGCATCACTGGTGATTTTTCCGGCGTTGGGACCTCAGAAGCTGTATACACATGTAACACCTGGAAGACCCAAAAAAGAATAAAATGCTTTGGCCCGGGCAAAGTGGACTGAATGCTTTAGATTTAAGATGACAGGGCGTGTTGGATAATTTCCTTATGCGGTGTGTACCTGCTTAGACCGTTAGACGAGAATTTGTTAGTTTCTGAGATGGCCTGCCCAGAAGCATCCCAGTGGCAGAACCATCCTTCGAACAGATTCTGAGCCCCAACCTCCACTAGTCTTACAGCCAGATTCTGGTGAAAGATGTCAGCCGAAGCGGAAGAAAGCTGTCTTCATTCGAGGCCATTGGAGAAGGAACAAAGACCTGGGCCAGTGGCTGTGCTGGCCTCAGAATCATGTGTGACCAGAATCTTGTTGGTGATGTCTGTCGCATTTGCAGGCACATATCGAGGGCGGTTGCTACACAACCAGAGCAGCTCTCAGAAGTTCTTGGAATAATAGAGCCACAACGCAACAGGAACCAGTCAGCTAGTCGGGGGCTGCTGAGGATCCACCACTATGGTGTGTTCAAATGGCCCGACGGCCGTTGCTACGCATGGAACCCTGTGGTGGCAGATAAGATGCAGCAGCCGCACCCGGCTTGTGGTACTAATCGAATGCACCCGCGAGTCTTAGGTTGGTCACTTCAGAGATGAGGCAATGCACGGAGTGGTGGCCTCAATGACAGCCCTTTTCAACACAGCATTCAGGGTTTACCTCGGCAGATGTGCTCCACGAATAATCCGGTCCACCTAATAAAAAACACGTACCCCCCCCCCTAATAAGGAAACCTCGGTCGCATTTTTTCTAATAGGGGGTCCCTGAAATCGGGGGCCCAAAATAGGGTCACCTGGAAAGAGTTTCAAAACCAAAAAGTAATCCAGGAAAATTTTATATAAAATCCTTTATTAAACTCATATCAAAAATGCAAAAACCGCCAGATCGAAGGGTCTTCCTTTTCCCCTACAAAAACCTTCATTAGAATAGTGATTCTTCAGTAGACTAACAGCTAAAGCTTTCGAAAGGTGATGTCGCTGTGCCATGCGGTGTTGCATGACCTCGGTGGCAAGTGCGTTTGCGTGAGTCCGTGCCATTGAGGGAAGGAAAGCCTGCTGGTGTAAGCGCGGCGTGTCATGGTGGAGTTTTGGGGAACCTAATCAAAAAAACTACCCCCAAAATCGACCATGTTGGTAGTTTAGTAGCGGCTTGAAAGGGCGGCAATTTAAAGCCAAATATAAACCGAATTTAGGGGATCCGGCATGACTTTTTCCCGAATGCGTAGCGAAGGGTTCTCGTTTAACTCTGGGGGTCTGGGGGTAGAGTCTTGTTCGCGATCCGTTGTTTCTATGTTCGCAACCGTCCGCAACCGTCCGCAACCGTCCGCAACCGTCCGCAACCGTTCGCAACCGTCCGCAACCGTTCGCAGTAGGACGCTAAGGCGCTGCCATTGGGGGAAGCTTTTGCAAGTGACTTTTCATGGATGTGTCACGTGTCAGTTTGCGACGCTATTCCATTGTGATTTGCATGAAAATGACATGTCGCGCAAGAAGCGTGATGCATTTCGCTGCACAGGCGCAGTGGTTTGAGAGATCCGCAGTTTACTGCGCAGTTCCGTTGGGATTAGCGTTTGGAGAGTCGTGTTTTTGGGGTGTTGGATGTGGCCGTGCCATTGGGATTTGCATTTCAGGGTGTGGCATCGAAGCTCTGTTTTCGTGACAAGTCTCAGCTGAAATGGCGATTTTGGTGGATGGGAGTGTGCTCAGAACGGGTCGAAATCATTCTAAACGTGTGGTGTGGCGCAAATTTTGTTGAAGCTCATGTGAGATGATATTCTCACTTTTCGTGGCAGGCACAGTACTTTGTGCTGATTTTGAGGTGTGGAAGTGCGATTTTCGTGGCAGGCGCAGGAAATCGTGAGGTTGCGAGGTGTGACGGAGTTGACATTTCGTGGCAGGCGCAGTACTTTGTGCGCGTTAGACGTGTGGATGCGGAAAGATTCGTGGCAGGCGCAGGGAATCGCGAGGTCGTGAGTTATGGTAGAGGTGAACGTCGCTGTCACATTGGGATTGGCGTGTGAGCGGGTGTTGTTTGGAGGGGCTGGAATCGCGAAACTGCTTGGCAGGGCTGCGTGATGTGTGTGCTCCGATGGGTGTTTCCGCTTGACTTTTGGAGGAAGTCTCGTACGAAACGCTCGTTTTGGAGACTTTGACACGTGAGTTTTTGAGGAAGTCTCGTACGAAACGCTCGTTTTGGAGAGTTGACATGTGACTTTTGGAGGAAGTCTCGTACGAAACGCTCGTTTTGGAGACTTGACGCGTGACTTTTGGAGGAGGTCTCGTACGAAACGCTCCGTTTTGGAGACTTGACGCGTGACTTTAGGAGGAAGTCTCGTACGAAACGCTCGTCTTGCAGCCTCGAAGCGTGACTTTTGGAGGAAGTCTCGTACGAAACGCTCGCGTGACTGCTTCTAGTGTGTGGGCAGACCGTGTCGCGACACGAGTGTCCCACAAGAGTGTCCCACAAGAGTGTTCCACAAGAGTGTCCCGCAACCGTGCCCCACAAGAGTGTCTCACAAGAGTGTCCCTTAAGAGT